TAGAAAACATTTTCCATTTTTATTTTTTTATTTTTATTTTCAAAAAATAGTTTTCATTTTCAAATTTCTGAAAGTGAAAAAACATGCTTGGTCAAAAGAAATGAAAACTCGTTTTCAAAAACGAAAATAGTGAAAATGTGTATGGTATCTAATTTTTTAAATATAAATAAACAAATAAATAATTAATTAATTAATAAAAATATAATTATTAGAATAATATAATAATACTATGATTAAACAATTGAAATTTTTGAATCCAATAAAAAGAATTCAATTTGTATTCTTAATAAAAATAATAATTAAATATAATTCAAAAGATATACTCACCATTATCACTTCATAATCACTACATTTGTTTTGAATTTCTAATTAAGTCTAATTAATCCATAATGGTGTAGCAATCTCTTCTCAAACTTGAGCCATCTCGTCAGTTTGTGACATACAAATGTAATATGCTCCTCGTTCGAATTAGATGAATTTGCTTCTGTGTCATCAAATTTGAAAGACAATACCAACAACAACCTCAATAAACAATAATATAATAGCAACTGGGGACCTTATCTAAGGCCAATGATACCTGTGAGAAGTTGGAAAAATCGACGGAGCTTCCTTTGTCTATTGGACGATTCTGAAAATTTAATGCTATTGTTTTCGCCTCCAGAGAATCCAATAAGCAAACAACTCACCAACATGCCTCCTAATTTCAATTCCGTTTATTCTATTACATGTTGGGACGATACTTAAAATGATTACATAAATCAGTCGAAAAATAATGAAGCTTTAGCAATTCTATGGGTCAGAATGACATTCAAATTGGTTTAGTACATATCTCAATGAAAATAGTTTAACAGAACATCCTTAAACGAAAGGAATTCGAACAACAAAGACTCCAATTCCAAAAGACAAACAAGGGAAGAAGCAACATGAAGCAAGAAACAACAGCAGGCTACCCACAAAAAGAAATAATCAGCCTAACTAGAACCTAAGAAGCACGGGTACGGCAAAGGGAGGGCGTTTCAAGTACCCAAAAGTCCCCGGCACGGGGACAGCACGGGGACGGCTGGGGACGCACCACGGTGACGGGGTACAGTCGTACAAGGTCGGGGATGTTTCAATCGAGACCTGGGATGTTTCGGGGACGGCATGTGTCTATCACATGCATCTCCAGGGGTAATTTTGGTATTTTGCGTTAATAGATTAAAAAAACAAAACAAAAGAAAACCTAATCACTATCGAGGAATGGGATTAAATTCAAAATTTCCTGTAACCTTCCTGCTCCCGTATCCTCTCATTTCTCTCCAGCTCTCCAGCCAGCCTGTTGCTCGTAAGTCATTCTTCTCTTTTCTATTTCAATTATGCAAAGTTTCATTGTGGTATTTCAAAGTTTCGTATCAGTAGATCCATCCCATAGAGAATTTTTTTTAGAAAAAAAAAGCTTCGCTGGTTCATGCCAATCAAAGTTGTTTCAATTCTAGCTTTAAAGATTTACTACACATGCATGTCAATCAAAACAATTTTTAACTCGTTGGTAATTTAGTTTACATAATTTTATATAAAAATAGATGTTAAACATGAAAAAAATAATTGCAGAGGAAAAAATAAAAAAAAATAGATGTTAAATATTTGTTGTTTCTTAATTATTTTATATAAAATAATTTTAGTTTACAAAATGGTGGGGTTGAGTGGACTGTCACATTGACCATTTTAATTTACAAAAGTCGTTGTTTCGTTGATTTAAGATGAAAAAAAAATAGATGCTTGAGTTAAGAAATGTTATTGAATTCCAGAACAAGAATAAACATTTACCATTTTAATTTACAAAAGTTGTTGGTATTGAATAAATGTTTGACATTTATAAATGACCTTTAGGTGAGGATCAAAAGAAGGAACGAGAAAGGGAAACACATGGGGATTGCAAAATATAATGAAAAATTAATTTTAAATTATTTAGTTTAACTATTTATTGTTGTTAAAAATATTTTGGGTTTGGTGTTTCATTACGAGATGAAATTAGAGTTTGGTACTTCATCAATTAATTATGTTATTAAATTATTTAGTTCTTTTTCATTATGTGTTCATTGATTTGTTTCATTCTACTTTTTGTTTAATGTAAACATATTAATTTAGTATAAATATGGCATCTCAAAGTGGTAGTGGGACTGGAAGTAATAGTGGGAGTGGGTCAATTTCATTGTCCCAAAATGAGAATTTATCTCCATTGTGGAATTATGTGACAAAGATAGAAAAGTGAGGGACTGTTGGAGGAACTTGGAATTTTTTATATAACATTTGCGGCGAAACTCGTAATGAAAGTTATACTAGGATAAAGGCACATTTGCTTCAAATTTCATTTGAAAGAGATGCAATTTGCAAAAAGATAACTACAAATCAAAAACTTGAAATGGTAAGGTTGGTAGAAGAGTGGGAGAATATAAAGAAACAAGGAGTAACTAGAGAAGTTTCTTTTCCCTCTCAATCTTCAGCTGAAATTGAGATTTATTATTCTTCTAAGAAGAGAAAACCTAGATTGTCACCTCTTTCTAGATCATTCGACATGAATACAAGAGCCCAATTAGATGAAGAAATTACAAGAATGTTCTACACCGATGGTTTTCCCTTTAATATTCCTAGAAATCCTCATTATCATAGGGCTTTCACTTTTGTTGCAACTCACAATATTCATGGTTATGTTCCCCTGGTTATAATAAATTACGAACCACATTGCTCCAACAAGAAAAAAAATAATGTTGAGAAGCTCTTGCAACTGATTAAAGCAACATGGCAAAAAAGGGTTAACTATTGTGTGTGATGGTTGGAGTGATCCAACAAGAAAGCCTCTCATTAATTTCATGGCTGCTTTTGAAATGGACCTATGTTTCTTAAAGATGTGAATTATTTTGGTGAAGTCAAAGATAAGTTTTTCATTGCTAATATGATGAAAGAAGTGATTGATGAGGTTAGTCATCAAAATATAGTGTATATTATTACTGACAATGCAACTAATTGCTAATTTGCAAGGGGGCATGAGAGATTATTGAGAACATGTATCCTCATATTTATTGGACACTGTGTGTTGTCCATACACTTAATCTTTCCTTGAAGAACATTTGTTCTGGAAAAAATGTCAAGGGAAATGAGGAAACATATAACTTGTGCCATTGGATTACTGATATTCATGGGGATGCCATACAAATCAAGAATTTCATCATGAACCATAACATGAGATTGATAATCTTTCAAAGATTTAGTCCTCTCAAGTTACTTTCAGTTGTCGATACTCGTTTTGCTTTGATCATTGTGATGCTTAAGAGGTTTAAGCTCATCAAGCAGGAACTTCAAGCAATGGTCATTAGCGATGAATAAAATTCTTATAGGGAGTATGACATGGTGAAAGCAAACTATGTGAAAGAAAAGCTTGTGAGTGATGATTGGTGGGATAAAGCAGCTTACATCATTGATTTTACAAAGCCCATCTATGATATGCTTAGAATATGTGACACTGATAAGCCACGTCTTCATTTGATATATGAGTTGTGGGATTCCATGATTGAGAAAGTGAAGTGTGAAATTTATAAGAAGGAAACATATATTCTTTCAGAGTTCAGTCCTTTTTATCATGTTGTTTATGAGATTTTTATAGCACGTTGGACAAAGAGTTATATTCCTCTTCATTGTCTAGCTCATTCACTAAATCCAAGGTACATACATAACTTTGTTAGTTTTGAATTTTATATTTTCAACTCCTAAATCTTTGATGCTATGTGTAATTTTCTTATTAATATGTTGAAGGTTTTATAGTGATGGTTGACTAAGCGAGGATCCTTGTAGAGTTGCTCCTCATAGAGATGGTGAAATGTCTCGAGAGAGAATGAAATGTTTTCGTAGGTTATTTCCAAATGATGATGATAATGGCAAAGTCTTGGATGAATTTGCTTGTTTCTCACTTAAGCTCGTGCCTTTTGAAGATTTGATGTCTCTTACAAAGAGGTATTCTTCGGATCTGAAAAGTTGGTGGGCTAACTTTGGTGCAGAAATTCCATTGCTCCAATCTTTGTCTTTCAAAGTGCTTGGACAACCTACTTAATCCTCTTGTTGTGAAAGAAATTGGAGCACTTATTCTTTTATCCACTCACTTAGGAGAAATAAGTTAAATCTGAGTCGCGCCGAAGATTTAGTTTACAACCACTACAATCTTCTTCTTTTATCAAGGAGTTCTAGTCAATATGAGGATGAGAAAACCAAGATGTGGGATGTTGGTGGAGATGATTTTGATTCATTGGGAGATGTTGAATATTTTAGAGTTTGCCGAACTCTCGCTTGATGAGCTGGATTTAGAGAGCCAGTTAATCTCGGAAGATGTTAATAATGTTTGATTTGGGTTTAATATTTTTCTAGACTTAATATTATGATTTGAGTCTTAAGATTTGACACTTTACTATTATGATTTGATTATGAATTTTATTATTCTAGAGTTAATATTGTGGTTTGAATATTGAAATTTAACATTTTAATATTGTGATTTGTTTATGGATTTTATTGTTCTAAACTTAATATTATGGTTTGAGTCTTGATATTTGACTTTATTTATGATTTATATATATATTATTTTAAAATTATTTTATATGTCGTACCCTTGCTATCCCCGTATCCTATAATTTTAAAAATTGTCGTTTCCCGTCCCCGTCCCCGTATCAATATCAATGCAACATAGACTAGAACTATAACAAACCAATCGAAATATAATTAGCAAAAGCTTCCTAACCATCACACCTTGGGATGACACCACGGCTTGGAGAATAGATCTATCTCCCATGCTAATTCGGTACAAAATTAGTTTGGATGAACTATAACAAACCCTAATTCTTTATTGAAAAAGGAACAAAATTGGGTTTTCCTTGGAAAAAAATCGATTAAATGATAACTAACGAAAGAAAGGTAAAAAAAAAGTAAGAGAATGGGTGGTAGCAGCTTTACTCGTAAGAATCGGGGAAGAAGAACAATCAACAATTCGTTTGAATATAAGACTCCAAGTTATTGTGAGTGACGAGGGGAACACAAGCTTTGAAACTTTCAGGGTCGATTCTGCAATTGAAGTCTAGATTCTACAAAGCATCATTATTCTTTTGATCGATTATAGAGATACCAATGGATTTTCCCCTGTAAATTAAAACATGAAAATCCGTGTTCTTTTCATTTTCTAAAATTTATAAACAATTTTCTAGGTAAACATCGAAAATGTCATTTTTTACGTTTTTAGCTTTTTTTACTATGTTTTGTTTTCATTTTATAATTTTTTTTCTATATTTACCACCAAACACATTTTTATTGATATTTTTTTCATTTTCTAAAAAATGAAAATGAAAATACCCTTCATTTCTTAAGACCAAACAGACCCTTAGTGTTCCTTTTATACTCAGTATTATAAAAAGAAACGGAAAAAAAAGAAGTAACGAATCAAATCCTTAAGCTTTCTTGATATATTCAACTCCTAAAAAATCTACAATTAAATTCCATAAATAGTAAAGTTATAAGTTAACACAATGGTAAAGCAAATCGGATCTTTCCACTTCCCTTTATACATTTGTTTTTGCTTAGATGTACAGATTGTTAAAAATTAGAAAAACACCTCCTGGGAAAAACAAAGAGAACATAAATCGAGTGAAGGAAAACAGAATGTAGGCTAAAGACTATGTTCAGCCCTTGGTCAAAAGACCTGTCAATATAGCCACACTGATTGCCTCCTTCATGGATTAACACTGATAGTTTAACCCAAAAAAGGAAAGCTGGCTTAACCGCCTAATAATTTACCAGAAACAGTTAGCAAAACCAACAGCTAACGGCTCCAGCTGGCAACCCTTCCAGCTGGCAATGCTCAATTCTTAACATTCACCCTGTTTTTCAATTTCTTGAGGTAAAAAAACTTGATTCTTGTGTAGCTGAAGCCTCTGCAGCGAGAAAACATTAAGCTTTTGGCATAATTCCTGAAATCGAGTTGTAACTAATGGCTTGGTTAATACATCCGTAATTTGACAATTTGTAGGAACATAATTGACTATTAGTTGCTGGTTCATGACCTTCTCCCTGACAAAATGAACATCAAGATCCACATGTTTAACTTTAGCATGCAAGACTGGATTAGCAACCATGGTTACGGTGCTGGTATTATCACACCATATAACCGGAGCTTGAAACAGTTCAATATTCATATCATCTAGAACTGCTTTAACCCACAGAACCTCAGTAGTTGTATCAACAAGGATTCTATATTCCGCCTCAACTGTTGATCGGGACACTGACCTTTGCTTGCGTGAACTCCATGACAACAAATGACTGCCTAGGTAAACACAATACCCGGAAACTGATCGCCTATCATCGGTATCACTACCCCAATCTGCATCTGTAAAGGCCTTGATTTAAAGTTGCCCCTATCCTTTGATCAACCATAATCCATAATCCATTGTACCTTTTAGGTAACGTAGAATGCATTTAACTCCTGTCCAATGAGCTTCACAAGGGGACTGCATAAACTGTGCTACCTTGTGAACCGCAAAAGCAATGTCTGGTCTAGTATGACACACATACAATAGTGCACCAATTGCACTTCGATATTGTTGAGCATTGACTGGAGCTCCTGCATTTTCTGAACTCAGCTTGGGTGTAATAGGCAAGAGTGTGTCCACTGGTTTAGCATGAACATTAAACTTGGTCAATAGCTCCTGCACATACTTCTTTTGACTCAAAAACATTCCAGTTGATGTATAAACAGCTTCAAAGCCCAAAAAATAGTGAAGAAGCCCGAGATCCTTTAACGAGAACCTGTCATGTAGCTGCTTCTTAACCTCGTTAACATATTTTTCAGAAGACCCCGTGACAAGAATATCATCAACATACACAGCAACATATGTGATATCATGCTTTGTTCCACGAATGAATAACGAGTTATCAGCTCTAGAAAGTCGAAATTCCATGTCACACAGGCACTGTTGAAGTTTTTGATACCAATTGCAAGGGGCTTGTCTAAGTCCATAAAGGGCCTTTTGAAGCTTGCACACTAGCTTTTCTCCATGATCACCAGTCTATTCGAACCCTTCTGGTTGAATCATGTATACCTCCTCCTGTAGATTACCTTTGAGGAAGGCATTATTAACATCTACTTGATAGACTTGTCATCCACGTGAAGCAGCAACTGATAGTAGCACATTTATCGTGAATAATCACACCACATGACTGAAGGTGTCAACAAAGTCGCATCCTGGTACTTGAGAGTACCCTTTTACGACAAACCTTGTTTTGAATATATTAACAGAACCATCCGAGTTGTGTTTAATGCGAAACAACCACTTATACCCAATGGCCTTTCGATCAGCTGGCAGAGGAAACAACTTCCACGTGTTATTATCAGTCAACGCCTTGAACTCCATTTCTACTGCAATACGCCAATGCTTATGTTGTAAAGCATCTTGCACATTCATAGGAGTCTCATTAAACAAATCATTATAAACCTTAGGTTTGAAAATTCCTGCTTTGCTGCGTGTGACCATGTGATGCTTATTCGTGATATGCTGAGCATTCACACAATTATATTCATTAGATACAGGCCTACTTGAAGCACCTGGCTCCTGAACACTTATTAAACCATTATGAGCATCATTTGGAGTAGCACTTGAATGTGTAGGCTCACTATGAGTATCCTCTAGTTGAGCAACGGCTCTCGACACAGCATCTGGCTCTGCCTCCATTGTGTGATCTCTATCATCATGACCAACACTTACACCAGGTGTGTCAGATGAATCAGATATAGTATATTCCACCAGATCAGGTATATTAACCGGATTATCACACCCAGTATCCTCGTGATCGGTCATGCTGAGTTCCTTGCAAGGAAAATGAACAACCCAGTCGACTTGTTTAACATGTTGATTGATACTAACACGCTGAGACATACATGGAAACACATTTTCATTGAACACCACGCGCCGAGATATATACACACGACCTGATTTGTCAAGGTATTAATATCCATGATGTTTTGGAGAGTAGCCAAGAAACACGCACGGCTTGGACCTGAAGTCAAACTTGTGCCAATTGAAAGGTCGAAGACATGGGAAACATTGACAGCCAAATACTCGAAGAAACTGATAATCGGGTTTCTTACTGTACAACTTCTCAAATGGTGAGATCCCTCCAAGCAAGTCTGCAGGTAACCTATTGGTTAGATAAAATGCAGTAAGGACATCATACGACCAATATTTGAAGGGAATGGCTGACTGAGCTAGAAGTGTTAAGGTTGTATAAATGACGTGCCGGTGTTTATGCTCAACTACACCATTTTGTTGCGAGGTATGTGGATATGTAACCATGTGTTTAATTCCTGCAGCTGCAAGACACTGCTCTAAACCTCGATACTCACCCCTACCATCAGTTTGTAATGCAACAATGTTTGTTTTAAATTGATTTTTAACAAGAGCATGAAATAAATTGAAAGCTTGAGTAATATCCGATTTATTACACATCAAGTATACTTATACATTCATGATGTACATATCTATAAACGAAACATAATATTACCAGCCACCAGACTTAATCGGTGATGGACCCCATACATCAGTTTCTACCAGCTCAAACAACCGACTATAAGCTGTATCCGATTGCAAAAATGGAAGCACGTGACTTTTTCCTAGCTGACATGCAACACATATTTCACTATTATTATGAACACCAATCTTAATGTGAAAGAGTGAAGATATAGTTTTCGACGCAGGGTGTCCCAACCGTCGATGCCAGAGCCATAAGCTTTTATTGGACTTAACATCTTTTTCCTTAGCAGAAGCAATAACCTGATGAAGCATGCCATCCATTCGAGCAGTTTTATTAAAGTAATACAACCCATTTTCCAGTTTACCTTCTAACTGGATTCTACCAGTTTCTTCATCCTTCACAAAGCACTTGTCTGAGTGAAATTCAAGATATACATTGTTGTCTTGTGTAAGTTTAGACACAGATAACAAGTTCCTAGTTATTTTTGGAACGCACAAGACATTCTTTAGCTGTAAATCACATGTATTGGCAGTCAATGGCACATTACTTATATGTGATATTGGTAATGTGGAGTCATCACCAAGGTAGACCTTACCTTTTCCTGAGTATGGTCGACCCAAAGATGCTCTAGATTTGTCGTAGATCACATGGTGTGTAGCACCAGAGTCGGGATACAATTTGTCAGCAGCAGACAAAACTCCTTTAGCAATGACAGAGTTGATTTGTACAGTGTTAGTGGTGGCATCTTCAGCGAGCACCTCACCTCTTGCAGCTGTATGAACAAACATATTATATGACGAATCATTAGCATCATATTTATACACATTGGCCTGCATCTCATTGGTATCTTTGGACTTCCTTGAAGCTACGCCTTTAAAGTTCTCATCGAAGCGATGCCAACACCTATCCACTAGATGACCAATCTTCCCGCATAATTGACATTGATGCCTAGGTTTGCCCTTGTATTTATTCATGTTTTGAGTTTTTTCACGAGAATCATTCGACCTATTACTAGTGTAATACCTGTCACGATTACTATTAGCATTTTCTCCATTGAAAATATTATAACTGGTCAAGTTTATGCTGACCACTGTCTTCATAAGGTCACCAATCTGCAATTCAACATCAATGAAAACCAAAGTGATAGTGTAAAAGGTATAAAGGTCACGACTCACTGTTATGGCAGCAACAAACAGTTCAAAATCGCTTGGAAGCCCATTGAGTAATGTAATAATTTGATCAATCTTAGAAACTGGGCTTCCACTTGTCGCAAGTAAATCACAAATCTCTTTGATTTTTGTGGAAAATTCACGCACATATAGGTCTCCATTTCTAAGAGACCTGAGTCTTCCATGCAAGCTCATAATCTTTGTAGTGGAGAGCTTGGAGAATATGCTGAGAACCGTATTCCAGATCTTAGTAGAGGTATGTGCTCTTACAAGCCGAGGATGCCAAAGAACTATCCTACTTTTTGTGCCACCATTACACCGGATTCACTATTAATTCACCAGACTCATCGATAATGGTTTGAGGTGGGATCGGCAACGATTCATCCAGTAGATGTTCCAGCTCATGTCCTTAAATCATAAGGAGAACTTGCTGCTTCCAAAGAAGGAAGTTGTTGTCATCTAGTCGAATATTAACATACTTGTTCATGAATGGTGTTTCCACCATCTGATTATTGGCAGCAGCAGCACTGCTTCCTTCTGATATTGCTTCGACAGCAACAAACGAGTCAGGTATGATGAGCAGAAAAATAGAATCATCAAAGAAAGATCATCGTTGAATCACTGGCACTTGGATCGCTAGATATCTGATACCATGTTAAAACTTAGAAAAACATCTTCTGGGAAAAACACAGAGAACTGAAATGGAGTGAAGGAAAATAGAATGTAGGCTAAAGACTATGTTCAGCCCTTGGTCAAAAGGCCTGTTAATATAGCCACACTTAACCCTGATAGTTTAACCCAACATGTAACAACCTCAATAACGGGTTAGTGACTATATTGTAAAATTTCAGAACTTGGTGATTAAAGTAGAATAATTTAATAGTATTGTAATTTGATATAGGGTTAATTTGCAAGGAAGAAGGAATAGAAGGATATAATGGTCTTTTAGCAAGGAAAATAATTAAGAAGGGATATATATATATATACATTAGCTCCACGTGGAAGAGAAGAAAGAAAAACAAAGGTTCCAGAGTTCTCTTCTTCTCTTATTTTCTCCCAAACGTGAAGACTTATAGCAAAGGTGAGATTCTTCATAAGCTAATTGTTTGCTGAAATTTAAGTTAGGGTTTGCTCCTTAGATGCTAATTAAGCTTAAGGAAAGCTTAGTTTGTTGTAAAACAACAAAATGAAGAGTGTAGAAGGATTTAAAGATTTGGAGTTTTTGAATGAAATTTCGAAATAGATTCTATAATTGGAATAAGAAGTTGAATTTGACTTGTCATCTACCTAATTAAGGAAGATGAAGAGTTAGAATTAGATTTTGAACATGTTGGAATTTGGGTGAAATTATTGAATTCTATGTGGAAGATTGGATTTTAAGTTTAAAGAAGTGGTTATTGAATAGTAATGAGTGTAAGCATATGTATGCGAGTTAGAAATCTTAAAGGAAGTGAAATAAGAAGAGTTGTGTTGGAAAGGGGTGAATTTCGTGTTGAAAATGGCAATTCTGGGTTGAGTGCATCGATGCACCTTCAAGGTGTATTGATGCACTCTCAAATAAATGAACATCGAATGCCATTGATGCATCGATGTGTAAGGAGTGCATCGATGCACCCGTTTAAAATATAAACATCGAATGGGATTTATGCACCGATGCATAGGTAGTGCATTGATGCACCTGTCAAGGGATGCATCGATACATGGTGTAGTGCATCGATGCATACCTTCATTAAAAGTTAGAAATAGCTTTCTTTTTAGCCTAAGGAGTGATAGTTTAGAATATATTAATTAATATACTGATTAGTATCAATGTATTACTATGTAGATATAGAACATAATTTCGTTCCGGAACAAACAACGGACGAGGATCAAGTCGAAATAAGCAAGGCCAAGGTGAGTACATTTTCTAGTTAAAGTGTATAGAGATAAGACTTGTGATAAGTCTATCTCTGATAGTTGAATTCATGATTTAATATTCATGTACATGCATACATGTATTATTTTTATAATGATTTCATGTATAATTCATTATGCTTCAATATGTTATTATGGGAACAAATGCCATTACAAGAGAAACAATCCAGGTATGTGGATTAATCAAAATGATTATATGTGTTTATATGAAAAGTGATGAAAGATATATGAAATGAGAAATGTATTCATATTTAAGCCCATATTATATGATACGAGAGCTATAGGTATAATTGGCTTGCCAAGAGTCGAGGGATTATCAGTGGTCCTTCGGGATATAGTGGTTCTTC